TCAACCGGCTAAGGCGCCAGCCACGTACACCTAAGGTGGCGGGTTCGAATCCCCAGCCCGGACCCGCCAAACAACAATGACGGCTGCAACCAAAAAATAGCCGGGCGTTGTGGTGGGCGCCTGTGGTCCCAGCTACTTGGGAGGCGGAGGCAGGAGACTCGCTTGAGCCCAGGAGTTGGAGGTTGCTGTGAGCTGTAATGCCACGGCACTCTACCCAGGGGGACAGCTTGAGGCTCTGTCTCAAAAAAAAAAAAGTTTTTTTGTACAAATCCTCAAAACTCTAGGCTTTATTATTTTTAATAAAGGAGACATCCAAATTGTAATGAAGGAGGCAGTGGAGGCCACTCACACCTGCTCACCAGAGCCAGTTGCTAAATTTTCAGCAACTTTGGGAGTCAGCTAAAGTCACACCAGTAATCTGAAATCAGCCCTGGTGGAATTGTTTATACCGTGAAGACTGGCAAACACGCCAAACCAGGGTTTTCCCTCCAGAGAGTAAACGAGCATGTTGTTAAATACTTACCAGCACACTAAGGCATTGTGGCAAAAGAGAATATCAGGAATTTGGCAGTGGCGGCAGTAGCTCAATGGTTAGGGTGCTGGCCACATACACTGGGACTGGTGGATACAAACCTGGCCTGGGCCTGCTAAACAACAACCAAAAAACAGCAGGGCATTATGGCAAGAGCCTGTAGTCCCAGCTACATGGGAGGCTAAGGCAAGAGAATTGCTTACACCCAAGAGTTTTAGGTTGCTGTGAGCTGTGATGCCACAGCACTCTACCCAGGGCGACAGCTTGAGATTCTGCCTCAATTAAAAAAAAAATGGTTTTTTAGTGGAAAAGAGAAGCCTAAAAAAGCTTGTGGACTGAAATGGAGTCACAGAAGACGTCTATAAATGTAGAAAGGAGATATTATTTCTTAAAAAGGGTTACATTGTATAGGTGGCCATCATGACAGGTTTGGAAGTGAGACAGACACTTCAGAAAGGAGGAGATAAGAGAGGAACTTATGCTGACCCGGTTGGCCAAGTACACATATTCAACAGGGAACAGGAAGACCTATAAATGTGTATGGAGGAGTCCTACAGGCATGCATAGTAGGTTTACATGTTTATAACATACATGTAATGATCACTGGGGTAGAGATGTAACATTCAAATGAAGTCCTATACATAATGAAATGGAGGGGACGAGTCCATGTTGGGTATTCTCAGAAGACAGGCTGAACCAGTATGTGGCCAACAGTTGTGTATTAAGAAGAAACTTTGTGCCCCCAATAGCGGTCATCTCAGAACCATAAAAACCCAGGTTTGATGAAGTAAGAAAGAATCACATCTGTAATCCCAGCATGCTGGGAGGCCTAGGCGGGTGGATTGCTTGAGCTCAGGAGTTGGAGACCAGCCTGAGCAACAATGAGTATTAAGAATAGAAAAAAGTAGCTGGGCATTGTGGTCAGCACCTGTAATCCCAGCTACTTGGGAACCTGAGGCAAGAGGATCACTTGAGCCCAAGAGTTTGAGGTTGTTGTGCTCTATGATGCCAGAGCACTCAACCTCAGGGTGACTGAGTGAGACGCTGTCTCAAAAAAAACAAGTAAGCGATGAAGTCTTCAGGCCTTTTGTTCTTCTCCAGTCAGCTTTTGATAAAATCTAGCAATGATTAGTAAGGGGACGGTGGGTTACAAGCAACTGGGATGTGTCCAGCCTCTGTCCTGTCACGGCCAGGAACTTAAAACTTTGGGCTCATCTCAGCATCTGTGGCTCAAGCGGCTAAGGCACCAGCGACATACATCTGAGCTGGCAGGTTTGAATCCAGCCCGGGCCCCCCAAACAACAATGACAACTACAACCAAAAAATAGCCCGGTGTTGTGACAGGCGCCTGTGGTCCCAGCTACTTGGGAGGTGGAGGCAGGAGACTCGCTTGAGCCCAGGAGTTGGAGGTTGCTGTGAGCTGTGATGCCATAGCACTCTACCCAGGGGGACAGCTTGAGGCTCTGTCTCAAAAAAAAAAACTTCTTTCTTTTTTTTTTTTTTTTAACATATACATCTGTTTATTAGGTTCCCACTTTTTGCCTTCACAGAATTAAAAAGGCTTAAAATATGATAACAAGAACAATGTTTAAGATAAGAACTAGAAACAAAAACCTCGTAAAGAATGAATGAAGATAAATTCAGAAAAGAAATTGGATGATTGCTGCAACGAAATATTGAGCAATAATAATAATAATAATGCAAAGAAAGTAACATTCACATTGTCAAATAAGGGTATGTCTATTATAGAATGCTTTGACTCTGAGGTTCAGTGTGGAGTCATCAGTTAACTTATTTTTTTTCCAGAGTCTCAAAAAATAGACAACTAATATTTATAAATAAAAGTAAAAGATAATTTCAAAAAACAGATCATGCCAAATCTTATAGACAATAGAAAAAGAAGAAATACTGTGAAATCATTCTGTTTAATCTGGATATACCTGATATTAAAATTGGAGGAAATGTATTATTATAAAGGGGAAATTACAAACATATTTCACTTATAAATGGGGGTGTAATATTCTAAACAACATATTAACAAGTTGAATTAAAAATTAATGTTTAAGTAAGGTACTTTGGTCAAAATTAAAGAAGAAAAAAAAAGAAAAGAAAATAGTGATTACCTCTTACATAAATTGGATTTAATTTTGACTAAAACTTCTTTTAATAGAGAAAGGAATCTATTTTTCCTGGCTCCATCAATGATTCACTTTGGTATAGGCAGGTTACTCAGTTTCTGGTTTCTTGGTTTCCTTATGAGAAAAGAGATAATAGGGCTTGATGACAAAGTCCTGTTTTATAAAAATCTAACAAAGCATATGCAGTAATTATTCTCACTTGTGAAATTAATGTACATCATCATTTAAGTGGTATAACTTGATCAAGCAATACCATCCTGAAATAATGACCTGGAGAATCATGAATCATCATTCCCATTCTACTTTTTTCTTTTTTTTTTTTTGAGACAGAGCCTCAAGCTGTCCCCCTGGGCAGAGTGCCGTGGCATCACAGCTCACAGCAACATGTGGTAGCATCTGAGGGAATTCCTGACTTGGATGAGCTGTTTCTCTTGCTTTCTATATCTATTTAGAGACACCAAATTATCCATTAGAAATCAAGTAAATAATTCAACTAATCCAACATTGCAAAATAACTCCCAGAATATTTGACAAGTGACTCTCCGTGACTTCGTCCCTCCACATTCAGCCATAACTTTTAGATCATTTCCCAAATGTTGCGAGTTGAGTTCCCTTCTCTCTTTCAGCTTCAAATGGACCATAAGACTACCTGGATATTACTTTATTTATGACTTTCTGATTTCCTATGTCCCAGACATAAAAAGCCAGACACTAGGTAAAGTGGTAAGGACAGAGTTCCATCAGGTTTCCGACATTACAGTGAGATGATCATGTCACTGCACTCCGGTCTGGCCAACGGAGCAAGAAGCTGTCTCAAAATGCTTCTGTCTGCTTTTGCCACCTCTACACATAAGTTGTCCAGTCTTGGACACTCCACAGAATGATGTTATTATCAAGTCAGATGCACCTGACACACTATTATTGAAGAAACATAGGTTATACTGCATCCTATGGCTTGAAGAAAGATGATTAGGAATACCTCATGTCTGAGTATTTGAGAATGCATTTAAGGGTGTGTCATCTGATGGGACAATGTCATCACATGAATAGAGAAGAAATTCTGGCATTTATTAAGTCATGCCAACATGAGCATGGTGAAATAAGTGCTACTGTGTTTCCCCCAAAATAAGATTGACCCCCAAAATAAGCCCTAGCAGGATTTCTATGCATTTGTTAAATATAAGCCCTACCCTGATAATAAGACCTAGTGATGGGCATGGCTATGCAGCGTATCTGCATAGCCACGCCCTGCATTTCAGTGGAGACATCCCCTGAAAATAAGCCCTAGTGTGTCTTCTTGAGAAAAAATAAATATAAGACAGTGTCTTATTTTTGAGGAAACACAGTAGTACCAGACATAATCGTCATCTTTCCTACACTTTTAGTGCTGTCCAGATTCTTACTCTGTGTGATGTTACTGTAATTTATGTAAACAAAATTGTGGAATATGTTCAGAGCCTACAGAAAGAAGATGGTTCTTTTGCTGGAGATGTATGGGGAGAAATTGATAACAAGATTCCCTTTCTGTGCAGTGGCAACTTTCGCTCTATCGGTGAAGCTTGATGCTATTAAGGTAGAAAAGGCAACTGAATTTGTTTTATCTTGTATGAACTTTGATGGCGGATTTGGTTGCAGATCAGGTCCTGAACCTCATGCTGGGAGGATCTATTGTAGCTATTGATTCCTGGCTATTACTAGTTAGCTGGATCAAGTGCATTCTGATTTATTTGGTTGGTGGCTTCGTGAACAACAGTTGCCCTTAGGTTAGTGGTTCTCAACCTTCCTAATGCTGCGGCCCTTTAATACAGTTCCTGTGGGTCACGACCCACAGGTTGAGAACCACTGCCTCAAGTGCACCAGATGGAAGGCCAGAGAAGTTGCCAAATGTATGCTGTTCCTGGTGGATGTTGCTTCCCTAAACGGAAAGCTTCACGGGACTGATAGAAACGGCGTAGTTTCATCTTAGCATGTCAAGATGAAGAAATGGGATTTGCGACAAGCCAGGAAATATGGCGGATCCTTTTTATACATTAGTTTAGTTTAGTTTAGGAGACAATCTCATTCTGCACTGTGGGAAGGGTGCCCTGGCATCATCATAGCTCGGAGCAACCTCAAACTCCTGGGTTCACGTTCAAGGAGGATAGCCGAGAAAAGTAAAGTCTTAACAGAACAAAGCCTTCTCAGAGAAGGCCAAGGATACCCTTGCAAAGTCCTCCCCATGGAAACCCAGCCCTTAAGGATGTGGAAAACTTAGCTTCCTAGGTCCTTGAAACTAACGGCTGCTGCTTGCTTCCACTTCTGTAAACCCTGCAAATGATTTCACACCTTCAATGAGAGGTAATATGGTAATGCCTTTGTCTATTTATGAGTCCTACAAGAGGGCTACAAAGTGAGACAGTCTCAAGAAAAAGAGGACAGGGACAGAGCTGACAAGGGAGCTTGGCCATTTTGGATTATAATCTGCTGTGGCTCCACCAGCTTTTAAAATAAAATTCCTTCCCCTATAATCTTTGGTGAGAGTCTATTGCTTTCATTTTGCTGGTCCTGCAACTGATCCTCCTGCCTCCGCCTCCCCAGTACCTCGGACTACAGGTGCCTGCCACAACATTGGGCTACTATTTCTACTTTTGGTAGAGACCGGCCTTGTTCTTGGTCAGGCTGGCGTCAAACTCCTGAACTCAGGCAACCCACCTGCCTCTGCCTCCCAGACTGCTAAGATTACAGGTGTGAGGCCCCTTATACAGGATTCGGAATTGGTGGATTAGAAGAAGAGCAGATTAAACTTGTTAGTTCTGGGTTTTTTTTGCATGCCTGAACAAGCGCCTTAGAGGGTGAATGTTCAGCCTGAGCTGGTGAGCTAGAGTCATTGAATTTGAGCTAGGTTCAAAAGTCCAATCATCCAGTTTGCCATCTCAACGTTTCTGTATTTGAAGTGCTTGTTGTACTTAAAAACTATTGTTAAAACTTTGTATATTGTGTTAAATTAATTTTATTTCTTTTTTGAGACAGTCTCACTATGTTACCCTGGGTAGAGTCAGGTGGCATCACAGCTCACAGCAACCTGTAACACTTGGCTTTAAGCGATCCTCTTGCCTCAGCCTACCAAGTAGCTGGGACAACAGGTGCCCACCACAACATCAGCTATTTTTTTGTTGCAGTTGTCATTACTGGTTAGCAGGCGGCTGGGTTTGAACCTGCCAGTCTCGGTGCTTATGGCTGGCGCCATAACCACTGTGCTACAGGCGCCCGGCCTTAAATTAATTTTAATAAATGATGTAATTATATATACTGTAAAATTACATATAAAAAAGAACTAGGTGCAGAGGTGTGTGCCTACAATCCCAGCCAGCGGAGGCTGAGGCAGGAGGATTGCATGAGGCCAAGAATTTGAGGTTGCTGTGAGCTAGGCTGAGGCCACTGCACGCCAGCCCAGTGCAGCTCAGGCGTCAGAGTGATAAGGTCTCCAAAAAAAGAGCACAGGGGCTAAGGCGACAGGCATATACACCTGAGCTGGCGGGTTCGAATCCAGCCGGGGGCTGCCAAACAACAATGACAGCTGCAATCAAAAAATAGCCAGGCGTTGTGGCAGGCGCCTGTGGTCCCATCTACTTGGGAGGCGGAGGCAGGAGACTCGCTTGAGCCCAGGAGTTGGAGGTTGCTGTGAGCTGTGATGCCACAGCACTTTACCCCAGGGCGACAGGTTGAGGCTCTGTCTCAAAAAAAGAAAAGAGGGACGGAGGGGGGAAGAAGGAGAAGACAGAAGGACAGACCCAGGGAAGGAAGAAAAATACCACGCTCTCGGCGCGCTCGGCGCTGCCAACCCCCGCCCGGCGTCAGGTTTTCTCCAACCCTTTGCGCAACCCCGTCCCACAGCCGCACAACCAGCCGCTGCCGCCTCCAGCCTCGGGGGGGCTAGAAGATGAGGCGCCCCGGGTGGCCGGAGCAGCACCCACAAACGAGCGGACGGAGCCATGGGCCGCGGCGAACTCCTGCCGGCCCCAGCCGCAGACCCGCAGCCAGAGCCCCGGGCCCGGGCGGCC